CAAACCAACAAATTTCAGTACAAGTAAAAACATCTTTATTTAGTCTTGTTAAAAGAATTAAACAATAAAAAAATCAGAAAATATGATTGAATGAATCCTATTGAAATGAGTTGCGCTTTACTCCTATTTAGGAAATTCTCCGTTCATTTTGGATCGGATTGCGGAACTAGAACCAAAATAACCATAAAGTAGTTCGGTTTTGGTTCGTAATTAAGTTTTGTTCTATCAAATTCAGCTCCATGCAAAACGCTCGTAATTTTTAACGTCAATAGCTAACAAAACAAGTGAAATAACAATACTGGAAAACATACTACTCGGGGTATATAAAATGGATGCAAAGGCAACATTGGCAAACATATAATCTTTCTTTTGCAGATGTGAAATGTCAAGACCTAATACCATTACAGTAATTATAAAAAAAAGTCTAATACACGACCACCGGAAACAAGTAAAGATTTGGATGCAGATTTTGAATAGGCTCTACTGGAAAACAAAAAGGACCGACACCTTTCTCATCACCCGATGTGTAATACACAGTGCTCCCTCTTCTTCACTTGTTTAACCGCAAGTTAAAAGCTTCGTACACACAACACGGCAACACTGCTTGGTACATTACCCAATACGATGGAACAGGTGAATGAGCTCACAGTCCACCAGACCCTACCCAGTACATCATAGATTATAGGAGATTAGTGGCCCTTTATTGGGGGCAGCTGCCCCCCATCATGTAGCTGTAGATCCGCCCCTCTGCACCTCTCACTCTCACTTTAATTTCACCTCCCTGCACCAAGGTATTTGATTGCTCAGATTCCAAAGGGTAGAGAAATAGAGAAGAGGGGAAGAGAAAATGTCTAAGGGGCCAGAGACAGAGAAGAAGCCAAGCTCAAACCCGAACCCAAGCGTGAATGCGGGAAGTTACGTCCACGTTAAAGTCAAAACACAGGTTTTCTGTTCTCTCTCATCCCTTTGCTCCTTTATATATAGCATCTTTCTGTATTTGCTTCTTGTATTTGCGAGAACAATATGCCTCTGGAATTCCTTGCACTACACAGCTTTCCAAAACCCGTTCTAACCCACGGTTTTCTATCGTTTATTACTATCTCACCGTTAAAACGTAGTATTATCGACTATGTTAGTTTTTAATGAATGAGATAACATGAAAATATTTTTAAAATATTGTAACAAGTGTACTTCTATTCATATTTATTTTTAGAAAAATGTATGTGATATATCTGAACATTTAATCAAGAAAGTAAATAATTTCAAAATTATTTTAGAAATTTACAAACCAAATATTAAATGACACTATAGACGTGAATATGACTACAACAGTTGCAAACTTTAATTTTCCCAAAAATAAAAGTTGTAGTGTTTGGGAAAATAAGTGCTTTTTAAAGCTAAAAGCTAAGAAGTGCTTTTTTAAAAGCAGTTGCAAACTAACCCTAAGTAGTACTTGATATTAGTTTGTCTTTTCTTTTATTTTCATTTTGCATTTTTATTATTTTCTTGTAACTTCTTTCATTATTAATAAAGCTTTTAAAAAAAAGTTGTAAAAATGATATAAGTATAAAATTAAAATAAAGGTTAAAATACACAATAATGTTAAAACTTAGTAAACATTTTAAAAATACACATTATATTTTAAAATAAGTTGTAATCATATTCACGTCTATAGTGTCATTTAATATTTGGTTTGTAAATTTCTAAAATAATTTTGAAATTATTTACTTTCTTGATTAAATGTTCAGATATATCACATACATTTTTCTAAAAATAAATATGAATAGAAGTACACTTGTTACAAAATTTTAAAAATATTTTCATGTTATCTCATTCATTAAAAACTAACATAGTCGATAATACTTCGTTTTAACAGTGAGATAGTAATAAACGATACAAAACCGTGGGATAGAACGGGTTTTGGGAAAGCTGTGTAGTGCAAGGAATTCCAGAGGCATACAGTTCTCGCAAATACAAGAAGCAAATACAGAAAGATGCTATATATAAAGGAGCAAAGGGATGAGAGAGAACAGAAAACCTGTGTTTTGACTTTAACGTGGACGTAACTTCCCGCATTCACGCTTGGGTTCGGGTTTGAGCTTGGCTTCTTCTCTGTCTCTGGCCCCTTAGACATTTTCTCTTCCCCTCTTCTCTATTTCTCTACCCTTTGGAATCTGAGCAATCAAATACCTTGGTGCAGGGAGGTGAAATTAAAGTGAGAGTGAGAGGTGCAGAGGGGTGGATCTACAGCTACATGATGGGGGGCAGCTGCCCCCAATAAAGGGCCACTAATCTCCTATAATCTATGATGTACTGGGTAGGGTCTGGTGGACTGTGAGCTCATTCACCTGTTCCATCGTATTGGGTAATGTACCAAGCAGTGTTGCCGTGTTGTGTGTACGAAGCTTTTAACTTGCGGTTAAACAAGTGAAGAAGAGGGAGCACTGTGTACTACACATCGGGTGATGAGAAAGGTGTCGGTCCTTTTTGTTTTCCAGTAGAGCCTATTCAAAATCTGCATCCAAATCTTTACTTGTTTCCGGTGGTCGTGTATTAGACTTTTTTTATAATTACTGTAATGGTATTAGGTCTTGACATTTCACATCTGCAAAAGAAAGATTATATGTTTGCCAATGTTGCCTTTGCATCCATTTTATATACCCCGAGTAGTATGTTTTCCAGTATTGTTATTTCACTTGTTTTGTTAGCTATTGACGTTAAAAATTACGAGCGTTTTGCATGGAGCTGAATTTGATAGAACAAAACTTAATTACGAACCAAAACCGAACTACTTTATGGTTATTTTGGTTCTAGTTCCGCAATCCGATCCAAAATGAACGGAGAATTTCCTAAATAGGAGTAAAGCGCAACTCATTTCAATAGGATTCATTCAATCATATTTTCTGATTTTTTTATTGTTTAATTCTTTTAACAAGACTAAATAAAGATGTTTTTACTTGTACTGAAATTTGTTGGTTTGGTCTGAACAGGTCTGGTCTCTCGTACATGTTTGGTCTCTGTGTAATTTATAACTATGGAAGTCTGGTATGTTTAAATATGGTCTGGTCTGAGACTGAAACCAGTCCAAGTAAAAACATCCCAAGTCCTATTTACGGAATAATACACAATTAGTCATGTTTTTTAACATTATTTATGTTTACTCCTATTTAGAGCAGTTTCTTTTTCAAACTTTCAATTGGGATATTTGTTTCCTAGACCAACAAATTAATTCCAATCTTAATCTAAAATTCCAAACCCAAAAAACCGGTATGCATACTCTTTGCTCTCACCAGGCCTTCGACCAACTTTGGAAAAGGTCAGTGTTTTCGGGGAGTGGGAATGGTAGTTAATAGACTAATAGTTATGGAAATCAGAAATTTATAACTCAATGATACCGTCCAACATTAAAAGAATGAAGTTATTTGGCTGATGCTCTAGCATAGTAGGTGTGTAACTGTGTAAGATGGCGAAATCAGAAACTGTCCAAATTTATTGCTGCTTAATGTTGTGAGATTGTCAGCACATTTTTACCTTATTGCAAAACCCAGTGAACTCTCAAAATGTGTGCATAGTGTCTAAGTGTGTTGATGTGTACTTATGTGTTAAAAGTGGATAAGTTGTTGCTACCTATTCTCTTGAGTGGTGCTACTGACTGAAGCTTGTTCCTTTAACTTCCTGTGCATTTTCCAAGGAAGAATCACACATATGAGCATAACTTTCTTCAACATTTTTTTCCCCAGTGTTTTTCCTGGGTGTGAGCATAACCTAAAGGGTCTGTTTGAATAGGGAAAGAAATTTGGTAGGCAAATATAGGATGAATTTGGAAAGAATGTAAAATTGTAAGGCTAAATGATCAAATAGGCCCTTGAACTGACTTAAAGTGTTCAATTAGCCCCTTATATAAGAGGTTCTGCCCGGCCGTCGCTAATTGGGGCGGTTCCCGGTGGAATTTTTTGATGAAATTTTTTGAGCATCTTCTTCATTAAGTCTAGTTTACCCATACCAAATTTCAGCTAAAAAGTGAACCGGGAAGGCAGTCAAATGATTTTCCAAAATGTATTGCGCTGTTTAACTTCGCAGTTATCTTCAAAAAATCATTTGACTGCCTTCCTGATTGATTTTTAGCTGAAATTTGGTATGAGTAAACTAGACTTTATGAAGAAGATGCTCAAAAAATTTCATCAAAGAATTCCACCGGGAACCTCCCCAATTGGCGACGGTCGGGCAGAACCTCCTATATAAGGGGCTAATTGAACACTTTAAGTCAGTTCAAGGGCCTATTTGATCATTTAGCCTTACAATTTTACATTCTTTCCAAATTCATCCTATACTTGCCTACCAAATTTCTTTCCCTATTCAAACAGACCCTTTAGGTTATGCTCACACCCAGGAAAAACACTTGGGGAAAAAAATGTTGAAGAAAGTTATGCTCATATGTGTGATTCTTCCTTGGAAAATGCACAGGAAAAGACAACACGAATAGTTTCTTATATTGCTTCGTCTTTATATAACAGACAAATTAAAAAAAATGAGTATAAGATATATCTAAACATATTAGTTGAGCTTTAGCCTATCGTTTACTTTCCCAGATTCCCCGGCATCATGTTAGTTTCAAATTTTCCTCCATAACTTCATTCCTATTTTCTTCCGTTGTATTTTCTGAGTCATAAACAGACCTTAAAGGATTGGAGAAAAGAAAAGTACAATTAAGAACAAATTTGCATACTGCATGTACATCTGCGACGTCAGACTCCAGCAATACTTCATGGGCTGTTTGATCGAAACTGCTAGATGTTAGCTTTTTCACTTCCCTTTTCAACTTGTTGAGGTCGGATTTATATTCCCTTAGCTTAGCAAGAAGAGCAGCTTTTAGACTTGGTTGCAAACTTCTTGCCTCAAGGTCCATTTTTCGAATCTGAGGAAATGCATGTTTGCCTCAATGAGTTAAACCATGATAGAACTTTGCATAGCAACACTAGAGATTAGAATGGTAGTTACCAGACCATCCGCTTCGTCCAACCCCACTGTGAGCTAAGATATATGTTGCTTCTTTGGATCTTCTTATGACAATGGAAAAAATAGTAATAATCCACAAAAGGATGGTTAAAAAAACTGATATACTATAAACTAGATCAATAATGTGTGAATTGTGAATGTTCCTGCCATTATAGATTGAAAGATTATTGCCTGAAGAAATGCTTTAAAAGTTATACAAGATACAAAATGTAATCTCATTGAATTTGTAAATATATAGCAGAAGGAACTTCTTTTTTTAACATGTTGTGCTTTTGCTCCTTCAAAGATCTCTTAGAAGCAGAATCCGAGTGTTTCAAAAATTAATTTAAAAGGGTTCCTGAGGATTAAAAAATCAGTTTGCTAGAAGCTAGGGTGCTAGCTTATGGAAAACTCATTCCGTATGAAGAACAATTAATCCTAAACACCCGGAACAAACTGAAATGGGAGAAATCTTCAGAAGCTAATCACATATCAAATAGAATTTATACCTCCAACGGGAAGAAATGAAGCAGAATTGCATTTCTTAGACAAATTGACGGACAGCTCACAGTACTGTCTCTCGTAACCTTCAAACACGTCACTCATCTCTTGCGCGATTCAATTCCACCTACAAGAAAAAATATAGCCAAGATGTTTCGTTCAAATCCATTAAACTAAAGCAGTGTATATTGCAATCCGGCAGCCCTAGATCACTAAGAAGCCACTCGAGAAGAATAGTTAATCCAACAGAAAGCCGAACAGACAAAATTACCAGTGCCGGGATTGTGATGAGATGCAAGCGAGTTGACACTGGGTTGACTCGGGGGCCGCGGACAGAAAATGCCTTCGTGATCAGGGATGACATATTTTTAAGAGAAAAGAGTGCTTAAGTATTCTAAGCCGCGTTTTGCTAATTGTCTAGCCGTTTCGTACAGATGGAGTGTTAGGACTGTTGGGTAAATCCGTAAATCTGAAATCCACCTAACTAATTGACCAACTAAATCTGCTCAATTATGAAAAAAAATTGCATTTAAAATATGTTTTATAAATAAAATCAAAAAATTGAAAACAATTACAATGATTTTCTATAGCATTTTTAGTCAGTTCAACCATAAAATTAACTCAAATCTCAATTGTTTTGATAAAAATAATGGCATAAAAAATTATGTATTTTGTAAAAAAATGATTGATAAAACTGCAATGCTGAAAGTGAGGATTACCAAACATCCCCACAAATGGTATTAAATAATATGGATAAATACAAAAAGATATTTGTGGTTGTGCTCATTTTCAAATGTAGCATGAGACTCATTTTTTTCAAAAGTTAGATATGTCCTAGATGTTTGCATAGTTTTCATCTCAACGGCGTAAAAAAAGGCGATCTGGATGTATAAAAAGTGACAGGTCCTGTTCAAAAAAAAAGTGACAGATCACCTTCATTTTGACGGAATTTCGACGGAGGGCATATGACTGTTAAGTAATGGATTGAAAACGCATTCTCGCAAGAACATAATTGGTACTTAACCATAATTTAGAACCAATGTGTTCCTTGAGACATTGACTCAGTTTCGAGAATGACGAAAACTAAATGACTGAAAAAGGACATATTGTGTGTGTCTTAAAATGATAGCACCTAAGCACATAATTATTTAAGGAAGATAAATGATAGAGTTTTGACATTTATAAGGAAAAAGAGCAAAAAAGGATCCAATTCTCTACAAAATCCCATGTATATATAAATGATAGAGTTTTGACATCCCTCCAGGAAGACAGAAGAAAATTGATGTAAATGAAGTCAATGAATTACTACTGCAAGAGTATTCTATACAACTATTTACGTAACGAGTATATGAATATTTCATTTGCTTATGATCTCTACAGCTCTACTAAATTATGACCTCAATTTGATCGAATATGTAGTAGTTTTATTGATTGGTACTTTACTTAGAAAAGTTCTTAATTACTACATAGTACGTAGCATTTTTTATCTTTTGACCATCAATGTTTCGTTCACCCATATAATGTGTGAAACTTATTTATGGTTGAACATCATTAGAAAGGAACAAATTGTTATGAAACATTATATTATAACTATATTTATGTATCTAGATATTTAAAATTAAGAAAATGAAATTCAAGTAATTACAAGGAGAACAGATAAGTGAGAATAAATGAGCAAATTACTTATCATCAACACATGCGAAGCAATGGAGGCAAAGCATTAAATCTGGCTAAGAACAACGTCCGAGCAACAGATTAAGTAATGTTAGAGACTTAGACACAACAAATATCGATCTCTAATATATCTATATCATCAAGCTTTCGATATCTTTTATTTCAACCTTTAATATTCTATGGAGTTTCCTTTATTTCACGGACACAAAGAATCAACCGAAGCTATAAAACGCCTGAAGGGTTTGGCAAATGATCACAAAGCTCAACAAATTTTGAGTATTAAACATTGGGAACTTATAAGGAATCTCTAATCGCGAAGCATTGCACCTCAATGTATTAATACAGTCAAATATAATAGAACTCTTATACTTTGGAACAAAGAAGGGCCTCACTTAGGAGGATTAAACCACTTATGAGTTATGAACAAGTACGACTACAACTTGTGAAACAAATTCAAAAAGCTATGGATGATAATTGAATGATGGATCTGAATGAACATTCATCTAACTCAACACCCGATCCACTCATCCATTGTGTGTAAGTAATTAAGCAAGCAAGCAGAGAGGCAAGGATATAGGTAAGACAACAGACAAATAGGTAGGTAGTTAAGTAAGTAGGTATGTCGGTATCTAGGTAAGTAAATAAGTAGGTAGGTAAGTATGTACATACCTACATTTGTTACTATGAATATAATTGTAGGAAATTTTAGTCCAAATGATTGTTACTATGAATTTTCTCACTATATATAATTTCATCAAATCTCGTTTGATTATATTTTAGAAATTTTTTTAATTTTTAATATAAACTCTCAAATAGCATTCTTAATTGTTTAAAAGAAAGTTAAAATATGCTTTAGTTAAATACCTCATTTAGTATTAAAATGTAATCCAATGTAATGGATCTTATTAGATCATAATTTCGTTTTAGTTATTAAGTTTTGTAAATAAATTTATGTTTACATATCTTCACATTTATAGATCCACTGTAATAGGTCTTACGACTCCATTTTTGGGTTTTTAAATTAAGAAGAGAATATATTAAGAAGAGTGAATATGTTTACCATACACACTCTATATTATTCATACTATTTTTTCTTTTAAAATTCGTGCACAAGCCTAAAAAGACCATTGATAAAGAACGGAGGGAGGATTATTTTATTTGTGTTCATCTGCTAATCACACAATCCACCCACATAATCCACCCGATTAATCCGGTAGTCACATAATAATCACTCAATTTACGGAATTAATCCAAGTAAATACATCAATCATATGTGAGCATTGTATAGAGCCACATATCTCCTAATAGGCTAATACAACTTTACCAGGAAACACCATCATAGGTCTCTTACCCAAAATGATTTGTCTAGTCAACTTTTTTTGTCGCACAATTTCACTTTATCTACCACTTTATCTACTTATTTAGCATATCATTTTTTACCGTATTCTATTTTGAATTTGGCGACTTTTTAAAATTTTAATTTAGTTTCTAAACATGTAAATTTTAATTATTAAAATCGATTTAACTCTCCATGCGCATGATTCTAACTTCGTTGTCGGTTCATTTTTGGACGGAGGAACTAACATTTGAAGCAACTATACCCGGCCTTAGTCATTCATCACATGTTCTCCGTGGCCTTGGTAATGTATATGTTGGGCCGCGGAAGTTAAAGGGTGATTGGCCCATCTTGCAATAAGGGAAACGAGGGTCCAACTTGGCAGGAAGGAGTAAGCAGCCCGTTGCTACCTAAATGGATAAGATCAAGTGAACTTGGGGAGAAAGAAAGGGACTGCGCACGTTCAAATGTACGGCCGGCTACTTAGGCGGGTAGTTGGCTGGAAGATAGGAAGAGAGGCTTTATTTAAGGAGAATACGATGTAAACAAAAACTCAAGTCTTATTATCGATACTACTCACACAAGCTTCCAAGTTATTGAGCAATCTTATTTTTATTCATTAATCTCTATAGCAAAACTCATTCGTTCATATATAGTTTCTTGTGCGAATCCCCATATTCAATTAATTGTTCCGAAGAACCAATTCTTTGCTTAAACAATTTGGCGCCCACCGTGGGGCCTCGTGCAAGAAAGAATTCAAATATGGAAGGAACGAATCAATTGCTAATTGAATTCCATGAACAATTAGAGACGGTCCGAGAAGAGCTCCGGCGCGAGATGGCGGAAAGGATGGCCCTTCTTCAACGGGAGAACGATGTACTTCGGTCCCAGGTACGGTCTGCAGTGTCGATAGCCTCGAATTCAAGGCCCAATCGGAGGACTGACCTTATGAACGCTGCAACGAGGTTGGATCTTGGCGTCTCCCCGCCATCGACGAATCTATCCGCAATGTCGACGGATCAAGTATCACTTACGCTGGGCCTGTCGACAACGCCAGCTGGAGAGCCACACTCACCCGTCATCTCGCAGGTCATCCCATATACGCCACTCGTGCTAGAGACGACGCCACCGGCCAACATACCAGTTTGTTTCTTTCCGGAAACCCTTCGGGTCAGATCGAACGGGTCAGGCTTGCGGGCAGCAACTCAAAGCATGCCGGCGAGAACTCCGCATTCCATCCCGACGGAACCGTCGATCCCCCATTACAGGAGTAGAACCAGTGGAGATCTCGGTCCATCCAACTCCAATCCGTCCACTGTTGTGACTCTTCCCCCAACGGAGCCGTCAATCCCTCTTTACAGGAACGGGAATGGCGCAGAGGTCGGCTCATCAAGTTTCATGCAGGACGCCAGACGCAGTGGGCATAGTGTGTCATTTTCAGAACCCCAGACGCGACGCCTCGACAGACCCGACGTATTGCCAGCACCGACGTTTCCTGAACAACGCTGTGAATTCACCCCGTTGGCTGGACCGACTCCTTCATTCCCGATTCCGCTTCATCCAGTTGTGGCAGATCAGATGTCCATGTTGATGGAGCAAATGCGTCAGATGCAGGACAAAATCAATGGATTACCAGGTGTTCCCCCGCCTTTGGATAGAGCATCCAGGACATGTTACGCAGAGTCACCTTTCAGTAGGAGGATCACCAACGTCGAGATACCCAGGAAGTCCGTCGCCCCCGCCATGAAGATGTTTGATGGGACGTCAGACCCAGTAGAACACGTCGCTCAATTTAAACAGCGCATGTTAGCCGTAGTGCTCAACCCGGACCAAAGAGAGGCATGTATGTGTCGTGGGTTCGGAACGACGCTCTCAGGACCAGCCTTGACCTAGTTCGTCAACCTACCAAACGAAGGGATCAACTCGTTCGCAGAACTGGTCGACTCGTTCACACAACAATTTGCAAGCAGCCGCACCCTGGAGAAGCAAACGAGTGACCTATACCGGGTTATCCAACAGCGAGACGAGTCTTTGAGAGACTACCTTCATCGTTTCAACAAGGAAAAGGTATCAATCTCAAGGTGTGACATACCTACAGCAATCGAAGCATTCCGGAGGGGATTGAAGAATGATTCTGAGTTGTACAGGGAATTGACAAAGTTTCCTTGTCGCACATTTGAAGACGTCCAGGCCATGACCTTAGCCTTTATCAGGTTAGAAGAGGATTTGCGGGCGCAACCACATGCTGACGGTTACGAAGGGGGGCACCGCAAGTCCAGTACGTCCAGGAGGCATGACTACCGAACTGGCAAACCTTATGCCAAAGTTGAAGATCGACCCGTTGCGGCAACGACGCATTGGCTCGACGATCCTGATCTACCTCCAGCTATCCCTGACTTTT